CGCGATGTGCACCTAGCGCATGCGCACTGAGCTGTTCATGATTAACCTGGGTGCACGAGCGCAGCAGCAGAGTTCACCTGAAGACATTTCAAAATACAGAAACTAATAAACACGAGTAAATCTGCCTCTAAAACTAATCAAACTAACTAAATTTGAAAACAAAAAGTCAAAACTAAAACTAATGAAAAATCCAAATCTATTATGACCTTGGTGTGCAGGTGCTGTCCCGTTTGCTTAGGGGGACATTTTGAAGCTCTTCCTCTTCACACTCAGTTTCAGGGGCCAAGGTGAAGGGGAAGGGGTACAAAAATAGAATTGGGCCTAAGTCAAACACCCAATAATAAAACTGCATGCTTGTGTTTGTCTCCACAGAGCTGATCTTCCGCCCAGTCACCTGTGTCCCCGTCTCAGACCCTTCCTGCTGAACACAATGAGCTCCACAGAGAGTCTCCAGAGCTTCAGCTCAGTGTGGGACAACCGCTCGATGTGTAGCAACCGCTCGTGCCCGCTGGAGGAGGAGGCGCTGCGGCTCCCGCTGGCGGTGCTGTACTCCCTCATCTTCCTGTTCGGGCTGCTGGGAAACCTGCTGGCGCTGTGGGTCTTCCTGTTCCTGCACCGGCGCAGAAACTCCGTCCGCGTGTTCCTGATCAACGTGGCGCTGGCGGACCTGGTGCTGCTGGCCTGCCTGCCGTTCCGGGTGCTGTACCACGCCCTTGGCAACGTGTGGACGCTGGGGCCGCGCATGTGCCGGGTGGTGGGAAACCTCTTCTACATGAACATGTACGTCAGCATCACACTGCTGGGGCTCATCAGCCTGGACCGATACCTGAAGATCATGGGCTCCCACAGGGGCCGGCGCTGGCTCCGCGGCCGCAGCTGGAGCCTTGTGACCTGCGGGCTGCTGTGGGGTCTGTCTGTGCTGATGGCGGTGCCCATGATGGCGCTGGCGGAGGGTAACGAGGAGCCGGGGAAGTGTTACCAGTATAAGCAGAGGAAGCATGCGCGCGG